ACTTGGGCCAGTGAAGCAACGTCCTCCACATCTAGACTGAAGAACAAAAGGACAGCAACTTGTCTGTTCCGCTTCCCCAATTCCCCAGCGCTGCTCCCATCCCCCCAATTCCCAATAAAAATCTTTTTTAAAAAATCTAGCTTTGTTACTAGATATCTCCATAATGAGAACAAGTTATTTAATCTCATTCTAGGGTTCACTTTCTTAGTCTGAGAAATGGAAATGATAATAACCTATATTGCAAGAGAAAATGAAATAATTTAAGTGCTCAAAAATATTAGGTATTTTTTAGCAGGCTGTTTTTTTTTCCACATAACATTAAGCAGTATGGTCCACAGCTCCTCCTCATAGGTCATGATGCCCTAAACCAGGTGGCTATCCCTAGCAGCTCAAAAACATTTTATGAAATGTCCAAATCATATTTTCACCCCTCCGCCATTTCCTGACTCATTGTAGAGATGACTGGTCATTTCTTCCCTCAAACAAGAAGGCTATTGCTCACAAAAATTGGGCAAACAGTATGACTTCTTGGTCGTCCATCCTCCTATTTAATGGTCAATCAATTGATCCATCTGCCAACAACTCATTAATGAGAAAGTTCTAAAACATTCTGATGCTTTAGAATGATCTATAGAAACAGACCTTCTATGAATATGTGCAAAACCCATGTTTGCTTACGGTGTTGTCATTTGTGAAAATCTATACAAAACAAAACAAAACCTGGAGGGAAAATGGAGAAAACATTTGCAGGTGATTAAATTGCATAAACCTAGCAGCAGGGAGCAGAAATAGCCCAAAGTAGTCCAAAGCTGCTTACTCAAAATTGTGGCAGACAGCCATCTTCTGCCTTTGAATTAAGGTTATGGATGTTTCTAGCACATTCTTATTTTTTTCTACCCCCACTGTTAAGGTGAAGAACCCAATCTTGGATTCTTACTTGGATAATGCCTTAAAGATTCAATTAATAACACAAAAAGGAAAAAAAGCTTTTCTTTTTATTGAACAATTAAAAACTATAACCATAATAATCAGCATCAACTAATAAACTTTCATTAACTAGACATCACTCATCCCCAGTCTTCTGACCACTTTTTCATCACCCCTAGATTGGCCAGACCCTTAAATTCTCACAAAGAAATACTGGGTTGTTGGAAAAGTCATGATGTACTTTTACTATGTTTTTCGTTTCAAAAATGCATCATGACTTTCCCGACAACCCAATAGGTGTCAGTCTTGTGGATTGCCGGGCTGAGGTGACCCTGGTCTTTCTTTGCTCACTTTCTCCTAGATTGTATGATAGACTTTACCTCTGAGAACTCAGTAAGTGCCTCCTGGCTTTGACCTCCGGTTGCTCCCCACCTCCCAACTGATTACTTATTCATATTTTTTCTTGTTCCCAGCATACTGATTAAATCCTGGATCACAGCTTTGAGGCTGACTTTCAAACTTTTGAGAATATCAAGAGAATTCAGGTGAATACACATGCACACACACACACACACACACACACACACACACACACACACACTCTAAAACTTCCATATGTTATGTATGAATTATCAAAAACTTTGAGAGAAGTAGGGTTTTAGATAAATTATTGGGTTAGTTGTCTAGGTTATCTAAACTCACTGCGTATGCTGCCAGCCCTCTACTAGCCTCTATGGCTAGATGGATATTAGATTACAATCCCAGAGTAATTCAAATCATTATGAAATAAGTTTCTATCTATTTTTTTATTTTAAAAATACATGGATTATAAAAACACAGGAAACATTAGCTTCCTTGTAATTTGTCATAGAGGATTGTGTAAACGAGGATTTTCCATCCAGATGGGTCCATGTATCAGGCATTTGGAAGGCTTCTCAAATTGCACATTGCCTAACCCCCTCCATTTCCCCAACCTAAATTCCAACCTCCTTCTCTTAGGACATGCTGCACTCTAGTTTGAGAATCTCTTTTCAACTCACTGTTCCTGATGGAAGTTTACAACATCATTCCAGGATTTGGGATGGGAGAAGTGTTGAGAACCATTGACTTAGTATTTCCATTTATTTGTTAATTCAACCAACATTTATTGAATGCTTACAGGGTGATATGCTTTTTAAACAAATCATAAAAAGAAAGAAATGTAGAAATGAAATATCTATCACTGTCATATATTAAAAGATTTTCCTTTTGGTCACCATTTTCCTACCTCTACTCCCAACAGGTAAAGTCAAATTTCATGAGGTGATGAACGTGAGTAACTACATAATTCATTCTTTGGCTGAAGTATACCATTTTACCCTATCCATTATGTAATGTTAAATGTTCAAGCATAATGCGCTTAATGTTTCACACTAAGTTTGTCAATAATTGTAGAAAAATTAAAATAATTCGTACTTTTGGTAAATTACTGGTAAAATGATGAAATCATAATGTGATTCAAAATCAAAAGAGTTGTATTTCATAAATTGAAAAGTTATTCAAGTCACCCTTAATCTTATCATAATGTTGTTATTTATATTCACAATTCATATTTTATATACCCTTTTCCATACAAAATAAATGTTTTTCTAATCTGGGCATGAGACCACTTTATGTTAACACAGCAAATAAATATTTCATGTTTCTTGTTTCACATTTAAAATGGTATTTAAGATACTTGAATCATCTTATAAATTATGTTAAAAAACATTATCAAGTATAGAATTATTTAATCCCAGTATTCAAGTAGCATATACTTCCCTTGGTTTCCCTGAGAAAATTCCTGCCTCGCATATAAGGCCCAACTCGGGTTTCACTAATTGCCAAAAGGCTAAGCTTGGTCATATAAACATCTATCACAAATCATACAGTAAGTATATACTGAGGCCACATATCAGTGATACTTTATGTAACTAAAAGGATGAACAACATAATCACCAAATAAATAGGCAATTTTACTGTATACCTGATTGCTGAGTGGTTTTTGTTTTCATTAGGATACCGGCATTTTCATACTTATTTTACTTCCTTTTTCTTCTTTATTGGTCCATTTCTTCCATATCAACTAGGAATTGCTTACCAAGTTAAACTCTTTTTCTCTCCTACTAGACACAATGTAGCCTCAAGTGATAATCAATTTCTTTCAAAAACTCAAGTTTAACTAAAAACTAAACAAAGTGTCCCTTAAATCCCGTAGAACAGATAACCTTGAAATATCCTATTCTATTTCTAATTTACACAGCAAAGAAACGTATGTCTCCATTTCCTTCATAGTGCAGGATGAGGCAACCCTTTCAAGAGCTGCAATATGGGGTACTGGGCAAACAAGCACTAAGAACAAAGGATAAAAAGAATTCTACTAAAAAAGAGGAAAGCGCTGTGAAGTCACTTACATTTTACCTCATTGCCAAAGGCTGACTCTGAGTCTACTGTGTAAGATGTAAAGTGACTGTTTCTTGGCAGAGCTAACCAAAGTATGGGCCCTCTTCTCCTGATGGGGTAGAAGAGATGTGACTAATTCAACTCCAAATGCTTAAGTCTGAGGTAATAATTCTGCATTACATTAAAACCCAGAAATCAAAACTTAAAAGTTCATATCTCTGATTTGAATCTAAGCTTTTGGCCCTTAATTTGTTCTCCATAAATAATTCTTAAAGACATAAATTATGTTATATGACTGGGCTGGGATTAATACATAGGTGTTCCGTCTTGGGTTAATGCCATCATTGAAAGGGCCATACTGATGGGTTCCCATTCTAAGCTGTAGTCAGATTGAAGAAGGATTTACCAAGGTTGCTGCGATATAAAAAGCAGCTAGCTGGTAGTGTTGAGTAGTGAAATGATTAAATTGAGGCTTGGGAGTCACAAAGTCCCTCATTAGCTGCACCTGTAAAATGTAGGCAGTACCGCTTCAGAGGGGAGTTCTGGGAGTACATAAGATGATGCATGTGATAGACTTGCAAAGTGTAAACATTAGAAACCTGTTAGGTTTATTATCAAAAATAGCATTATCATGTTTGCCAAGGTTCCATAATGGTTTCACTTGTTCTTCCTCTGACACTCTCCCTCTCCTCCCACTTAAGTCCAGCCCCTACCCTCATCTTGGGAATCCCATCCACTCCCATGAATATGTCCCCAAATCTCTATGGCTAACGCGACCTTTTGCCCTGGGTACTAGCTTCATGTCTCTATCCGGACTTCCCCCTCTCCCCCTGATATGTCCTCCATGCACTCTTGGCTGGGCTCATACACTTCTATTCCAAATTACCTTTTCCTCCTGATTTTTCCAGTATTGGTCAATCAGATTCAAAATCTAGGAGTCATTTTTGGTCCCAACTTTTCCAACACCCCTATGGGCAGATGCTTGCCAACTAATGATAGTTTATGTCCTCTGCTGCATCCATCAGCCCCATCACCTCTCCTCTATTCCCACTGTCCCTGATTAACTCATGTATGTGTTACTCTGATAGCTTCAGAACTGGTCTCTCCACTTTTCTTCCTCTCTCCCAGATCTATTACATCTTACACACTGTTTTTCACTTAAGATACCTAAAGTGAAGTGGGATCTGGTTATATAGTTCACCAGCTTAAATACCATCTATTTCATGAAAACTTCCTCTATTTTCATGTAAACTCTTTAGCCTTCGAAACCCTCCAGTACCAATTACTCTCTTCTTATGGCGCTTCTTATTACTTCCTGGTTGGTATCAGGGTTTCTGGTACTTGCAGCAGTTCTGCCATTTTTCTTCCCTGCTGACCCAAAGGTGGGTAGCAGCCTCTCCCTGTACTGTGTGAGGCCTTTTATCTTCATGGATAGGATTGTCTCCTCCCTTTTTAGTACCTCCCCTTTTTCTGCTGTCCTGTCCTGTCCTCCCTTCCTATTCTTCAGGGTGCAAGCGCAAGCCCACCAATTTCCCATAATTCACTTGAAAAGCCTATTAATGGGGGGGGGCATAACTGCACCGCAAATGAGATGATAATGGCATTATAATGAACTGGGGTCACTTGAGGGCCAGGTCTCTGGGTTTGTGCGCATGCTCCAGGATTGGGAAAGACCCCAGGGTCCTGGGCATCCAGATAAGCAGGATGTTGGTGAGTGTAAGTTGGGACAATGGTAAGGGTCCTTGGGGGGAGTCCCTAAGGGCAATTCCAGCAAGAACGATCAATAGTTCCTCCTCCTCCTGCTCATTTCTATCTTTCTGCCTACTCTATCAATTCTATGACGCCTGGGGCATTATTTTCTGTCTGGTATATTTCTAAAGTGGGTCTTGAATAGTGTGGGCATTCTGTAAATTAACCACAATCATTCAACATTGTGCTTATCCTCAATAACAATTGGAGAGCAAACCATTTCCACAGTAACAATTTCCGGGGCCAGATTTATGTGTTATGAGGAAACTGCAAGGATTTCTCACTCAAAAATACTACTCCACCACCTCTACCATCCCTCCAACACACACACACACACACACACACACACACACACACACACACACACTTCTCCTTATAGTGCCTGAGATCCTGATCACAGTCAAACTTTCGTGTTAAACACTGCCCTTTTTAGTAGGTTTTCTATTAATGCAAATTCCCCAAAGAGAATTAACACATTAAGTGATTCACACCATAAAGTGACTGAATTTGTCAGTTTTTGTTTTCATGGATTAAGAAAGACCCTGCCAAATGGGGCTTGTAGATAGCTAAAGGGAAGTCACCCTCTCAAGGTAAACATTGCTGCTTCATAATTTTGCCAAGGACTGACTGGTCTTGACACATGCTGCTATTTTTTCGATGAAAAAAATACCCTTGCACAAGTTGTGTTTTCTAGGTTGTTTTTTTCCAGATGCACCCAAGAAGAAAAAAACAGATTTGCAAATCCACACTTGATGCTTCTGGAAAGTCTGTTTGAACAAAACTGATGGAGAACTTAGTCAGGAATAGTTCATCCTTCCATAAAGATTAACCTTCCTCTTTTGCCAAAAATCACCCAGGTAGTTTGTTGTCTGCCAAGAAAGTGCTCAGAGGCAACTTTAACTTGCATAGCTGTTTCCAGCTTTAATTTTGAGTTGACATTTGCTTTTTTAATTACAAAAAATATATTCACAAACCCATTTACTTTGAATGTTTCTTGAATAGGTAACCTGTCATTTTTAAGTGAGGTTACTTTGTTCTTGCCTCAGCGAGAAACTGCAGTAGCTTTCTTCCATAGCACAGAAATTGTCATCTGAAAGGCATTGTTCAGGATGGCCAAGGGGAAGAAGAAAAGGGGTGTATATAGCCCCAAGATAACTGACACTTTGTGCCTAATCCTCCTTCATGACCTTGGCCAACATTTATAGACAGGTGAAACCATGTCACCTTAAATTACAAGAACAGTCCAAAAAAGACAATGATGCCAGTCGTAGTGGAAAGGAGGCAAGGGAAAAGAAAAGGAGAAGAAGGAATGGGAGAAAATATGGCTTTTTTAAAAAAAGAGCCAACGTGTAGGAGTCATTTTTGTTAAACCCAGAACACCAAACCAAGATTTAACATCCAGCTTTATTGCAGGCTTCAGCCTCTCCTAGGAGTATACTCTTAACCAGTCAATTTGAAATTTCCTGGTCAGCATTTGTGAGGTAATCTGCCTGACAGACCCTCTGCCTTGCCTTAAAGGAAGGTGACCTTGCCTGAAATAATCTGCCCTTTGTTAGTCCCTCCCCCCTTTCTGCCTATAAAAGTTTTCCATTTCTACAGCTTTCAAAGCTCCTTACTGGTATATCTGAGCCCCTTGGGATTTTAATGCCCCTGGTATTTGGGGGCAGCTAGAATTAAATAATTGATTTCTTAATTAAGATATAACTATAGGCTTTAACTAAATGTTTCACTTGCTTTGGTTGTCACATAGTTTATAGTCAAAGATTAAGAAAGTATGTTAGTCATGTTCTGAAGGACTGCCTGTAAAGCAGGTTCCAGGAGAAATGTTTAAAAGTACACTTTACTTGAGATAACAGAAAAACATAGCTAGTAAGCCCAAAACAATGATAGCCTAAACAATGGTGATAGTCACAAGATGTCCAATTTCTGCTTTTTTCTTTAAAGATAACCTCACTGACGCATAATTATGAGATATTTTTCAGAATCTTGGTTCTCCATCCCAGCACCCCTTGTTCTCACAATGTAATTTTGTGTTGCTGATGTGCTGTTTCTTTGTCAAGCAGGAAGAGATAACTTCAGAGTCTTCAGGAGAATTTATGAGTTTGCTTTGCAGATGGAAAGAATGTCTCCAAAGAGCTGCTGGCATCCAGGAGTCTGATGTGAAAAAGCATTATCTGGGCCGGCCGAGTGGCGCGATGGTTAAGAGCTGGCTTGGGACGCCAGAGGGCCCCGGTTCGGATCCCACATATGAGGGCCAGTGACACTGCCCTCTACAGCTAAGATGCTGAACAACAGCTCAACCTGAAGTTGGGCTGCTGTGAGTTGCCGGCGACGGTGTAGGCTGCAGCCCCTGCTGCAGTGGGTTGCCATGGGCTACCATGTGTGACCAGCAGCCAGCGTGAGCGGCCAGCAGCCACAGTGAGCGGCTATCCAGAAGCCGGCGACTGATCTGCCTCGCCCGGGAAGAGCGCAATGATGGTGCCAACTTGGGCCAGGGAAGCAACGTCCTCCACAACTAGACTGAGGAACAAAAGGACAGCAACTTGTCTGTTCCCTTTCCCCCAATTCCCCAGCACTGTTCCCATCCCCCCAGTTCCTCAATAAAAAATCTTTAAAAAAAAAAAAGCATTATCTATGACTAAAGAAGCACAGACTTGTCTCTTAGTTCCCTGGAAACCCCCCTTCTCTTCTTCTCCTTTAGAACTCTTCTGCTTGGTCTGGAACTTCAGGAATGGTCTTTGGACATTAGTCCTCCATCTTCCCAGGCTGCCACCTTCTTGAATAAAGCAACCTTTTCTGTCTACCCAACACTTGTCTCTTGAGTATTGGCTTTCCAGCAGCAAGCCACTGTACTTGGGTTTTTGTTGTTGTTTTTTCAGTAACACTAGTTCCTTTGCTAGATGGGATGCTGCCTAATTTATGAGTCATTGAGTAAAGGCAATCATATCTCCAAATTTACTCAGTTTAGTTTTGTTTTTAAATAGCTTTCATACTTGCCATTGCCCCCCTCTGGAAGGGAAACAAACTCGCTTTGTTGCCAGCCACTGCAGCAAGAGGTTCACTCACGTCCACAACATCCAATGCAGGCCCCAGAGAGAGAGAACTCCATTTTCTATACTTTCAGAATAGCTCTGGATATAGTTATGCCACTCCTTTTCTCTGTGTCCATTTCAGAAACTACCTAGGTATAAACCTTTTAGTGTCTTTATAAGTCAGCTTCATAACTTTGGGCAAGTCATTAACCATATTTCCATTTATTCATCTATAAAATGTGACCTAATATTCTTTAGTGTTTTCCAGATTTTAGTCATGTGAATAGCATCTTCACAATTTCTGCCATATCTCTACACTACCTTATTGCCCTCTTACCTATTGTATCATATATCTCATATTGTATTATACCTAAAATATAATTATGCTATTAATATTTTTCTTTAAAAAGATTAACTTTTAAAATCTCACACTTACCCTTGGAAATTATATTAAAAAAATCAGATGTGATATGCTAGCTATATCACTCCAATATATTTTAAAACAAATGCATAACTTTTAAAATAAAAAGTTTCCCATAGATCATATAAGTTCATCTTATTACCACCGCCCTTTGTGAGACTCTTATGTGGTTGAAAAGCTACAAAGATTTGAAATCAGACAAACTTTCTGATGTAGAAAACTGTCTTTGGCCCCTAAGATGTGATCTTGTCAAGTCACCAATGTCTACCATGTAAGCCGTTAAGAAGGTTAATTAAGAAAATGTTTAGGGTTCACACTCAATAAATGTTGGTTTTTCTCTGTACCTCAGTTTTTATATCTGTGAAATGCATCCTAGTATAAATTGAAAGGAGCATGGGCTTTGGAGACTGGCCAACAGGATAAAAATCCCAGATCCAGTTACTTAACCTCCTTGAGCCTCAGTTGTCTCTTTTGTAACTGGAGATGATAATAACTAAATTACATGAGGTTGCTGCCAGGATCAAAGATAATACATCTAAAATGTTTAAAACATGAAGCACTATATAAATTATAACCATCGATATTATCAATATTGTCTCCCTTAGTGCCCAAAGGCAAAATAGAAGTAGACATTATTCATTGAACGAACAGAGAACAACCCTATTATCTTCTATTTCATATTCTGCCTCCCTTATGTGTCTGATAATTTCCTTGGTAAACAGTCAGGGATCTATCACAGAAGCTATTGCTGGAACCAGGCAGTGTCAATATCAGAATGAGAATGAAATGCAAAGTCAGTCAGTGTCCTTCAAAATAAGGCACAAGAGTTAATATTTGCAAAGTGCTAAGAATAAGGCATGAGAGAATATGCACTCTGTGTGAAATGCACAATATAAGGATTAAATAAACTAACTCGAAAAGAACTGTGGAAATATAACAAAGATAAAAAGAGAAGAGTGATGTAATTACTGAATAATCAGGACATACCCATGACCCCAGATGAAAAGGTTATGTGTCCTTCAGAGAGAAATAGGGTTAATGGAGAGGAGTTAGTAGGGACAGAAGGAAAAAGGAGTCCCCTTGTATTAGAGATTAAAAGATAAACTCACACAGGCAAAGTGGCCGAGACGGATCTTTGGATTCTTTTCAGCAAAGGAAAAGCAAGCAAAACCAAATAAAAATGAAATGGGGCCTCACAAAGTGCTGCCTCTTCCTACACCGAGGTGGGAGTGCAGAGGGCTAAAACAGATGTAGTAATGAACAATAATGTAATCCCTTCATTGCTCAGTCTTTGTAGCAGTCATTGTTGAAAAAATGATCTTTTTTTTCTTATTTTCCTGAACCAGATATCTTCCTATCATGAGTAGCTTTATTTTTGGTCCAGTCTAATGTCGGTAGGCTTGCTGTACAGAAATTGGGAAAGCAAGCCTAGCTAATTAAAGAGAGGCTTCATATCAAGCTTTAAAATTAGCAAAGTATTTTCATTAAGAATGAACTGATTCACTAAGTATAAA